GATGGTTTCAACAGCATCAAAGTGGATAAAATTGTCTTCTAGAATACAAGTCACAGATTTGAGTGCAGGAGAAAGGCTTCACATGTTGTCTATTCTGAAATAATGCATGGCAACAGGGTCAAGAGGACAATAGGGAATTTAATGTTATAAAGGTAAGATTTTTAAAATAATTTTATTGATGTTTATAAGGTGTGAGGAAAGACTATTACCTGATGAACAATGAGCAGAACTAAAGATATGATTGAAGAGTGAAAATATGTTCCTCCATTGATACCAAAAAAGACAGGCAATCACAAGCAAATTTTGAAGAACATAATTCAGTATTCAAGTCAAAGACTGCCCTCAACAAATGGAAAAGTTTATCAAATAGAAAGTATTATATTCAGAAAGTACAATGTCAGTGAGAAACAGTGGTCTGACACTTACTTTACAATATAAGGTCTCCTTAATGCAATCTCTCTCACTCTGTGCATAATTACATCTTTCATTTGTTTTTGTGATGTTGAGCTTTTAGACCCTGCTTTTACTTTTTTTAGCTTTGATCTTGAAACATTATTTTCTGTGCTTCAATTTGATTTTTGTCATTTTTATTACCAGTCTATCCAAAGAGAGCATTCACATTGTTCTGACCAATGACTTAAAAGGAAACCCATTAGTGAGATGTTGAATTCGTACTTTTTGTTCTGGTTCCAAAGAGTTCTAAATTATCACTCTTGTGTTTTAGTTTTATCCTTTAGCAACAACAACATTTCTACTTTTGAAAGTTCAACAAGTGAAAACAGGAAAAAAATTTTTCAAGTTATAAGACGCGTTTTTCTTGATATAGAATATTGAAAAAATCTCAATTTATAATCACTTAATACTTTAAATTCATTTTCTGTCCTCCCCTGTTATTCTTCATCTACCTATCTTTTTATCACTTCAAAGATTGATTTAAAACACCTGAAAGACTATGAAATATATAGCATCATTAGAAGCTGTCATACAGTACCACATGCTATTGTTGTCTTGTGATAGCTCTAACACTTGTGGAAGTATTCACAAATCTCTTCCTACCATCTAGACTCAAACGTCTCATCTTGACAGAGGCTGCTCTAATCACCTAGGCTGTCTAATGGGGCATGTCAAAACGTTTTAACAAAAAAAAAAAATTGAAGGTTAATAAGTTGTGATTATCAGACCCTCTTAAAACCTTTTTGTATTTTAATTAATGGCTGGGTAGTAGATCAAATGCAAATTCTCCACCCTTCCCCCCCCCCCCCCCCCAATTAAAGATATCTCTTTAATGAACGGCCTGAATCCTACTTTTTTTTTCATCATGTGTACTGTTTCAGAACATTGTCTTACTCTTTCTCTTGGCATGATGAGTGTTTCAGAATTTGATAGTAAATGTCACTCTGTCAATGAAAGAGTTGGATCTGAGTCCCCATGAGAAAAACCAGTTTAGTCTTCTGTACCTCTCTCAAGAAATAAGACAGCCATCCTCCTGTCCTGCTGGGTCCTATGCAGAAAATGTTTTGGCTTTTATCTCAGGTCAGGTTAGGTATGAAACAGATGTTTAACTCAGACAAAGTTGTTTCTTGACGTGTCCAGAAAAAAATCCACCTCAGTTCTAATGAGCCCTGCACTGAAACTGTTACCTGAGCACTGCCTAGAAATTAAGTGGAAAGAGAAGCCCTTGGGACCACAGTTTTGGATACAGACACTAAACCATTGATGGAGAAGCCACTTAGAACCACTTAGCCACTATAGTAACTGGTTTTTAAAACCAGTTCCTATTGCATCTGTTTTACAATATAAAATATGTATCTGACGGCTGTGAAAATTATGACTATCAAGACGGCATTTTCTAATTTTTTTCTTAATTCAGCATATGTGCAATAGCCAAAAACAAGCCTGAGTCTCTGTATGGCATTGATACCCTTTAGCCAAAGGAAACTGTTTCAGTTCAGCTTGTAAAAACGTTGCCTAGGAGTCATAGGCATCTTTTTTCAATTCATGATTAATAAAGACCAACTTGTGCACACCAGAGTTAAATCTCCAGATGGGAAGGATGAAGGCTTTACTAATTAGTTAAGTCTGCTCTTGTATCAATCCATCACTTGGCAGATGTACAATGATCTACTCTAAGCTATTCTGTAGCCCCTGCAGAATTTGTTTCTGCCATTGGTTATTTCCCAGACTCACCTCATTATTTTACCTGGTGGATCCAGGAATATTTTTAAGCTCTATGCTCTGAGGCAATCATCACACAGATTAATTACATTGATCTGTCACCTCAGACCTGGACAACTTAAGATGATGATTCTATCTTTAGTCCTAAATCAAAAAAGTATGTTGCAATTTATGCAACAAATATCAATTACATAAACCTCATTATTGCATACATCACATTAATTTAATCCTGTGCTAATATAATCAATCAGTTCACCTTCAAATTGAGAAACTTACTGTCACTATTATTTGAATTCAGATTTTTAAAAAAATTGATCTTTATTTTTACAAATGAAACAACAATTTATCTTTATTTATTTCTCAAATATTTATTGAATCAGCAAGTTTGATTTTAATCTTAATACTTTATGGTTTGGATTATCAAAAGAGGATATATACTGTTCTGTTTAAAATTCACATCTTGAAAAGAACTAAAACAATAAAAGTGCTATTTTTTGTATTCCTCTTTGGATTTTTCCATTGAAAAATAAAAATATTTTAGAAGTTCTAGCATCTCATAAACAGTTAAACTTACCTTACCAGATACTATTCCATAGAGTATGTATTGCTATATTGCATCATTCTCCTGTTAGCAAATTAAATTTTTAACTTAGGAAACAGTAATGCCTGGACTCATCAAGACTTGTGTTGCAGTTAGAACAGAACTGGATAGAGCAGTAGCCCTTATAGCTATGCCAGCACTTGCCAGAAATGTACCACACCATAGTACCTGACATACTGGAGCTCACCCTGTGTAAATTAAACAGTATGAGATGTTGAGTGCCACTCTTAGCAGGCCTTGGAAAATATTTGCTTTCATTGCTCTAAGTGCATTCATAAATACAAGCACACTCTGGCTCTGAATTTTCTGCTACAATATTCTCAAAAACTGGATTCTAAAGAATACCATCTTGGTTGCACAAATTCCCATCCACTTGAAATATATTTGTTTACAACCATTGTGTCTTCTTCTGTGTTTTATAAAAGCAGAAATGAATGTTGACTATGAAGAATTTCAGTACCTAAGTGCAATCATCAACAAACAACTGATTTCTGCAAAAGGAACCTATTTGGGTATCCTACAGAGCTATATGTATTTTTATTCCCTGTTCTTCCACTATTTTTTTCAGGTGGGGTTTTTGGTATTGCCTCCTTTTCAATTAAAATAAGGTTCATAGATACAACATGGGGTAAAGCACCTCTGGTGACAGATGGTTGATTAAAATAATGGATAGAGATTAAGCAAGAAAAAAGTTGCAGGGCTGAAAGAGGCAATTAAAATGGCAGCTTGCTCAAGAAAGCAGAAGAGAGGTCATTTTTGCCCTTAAGAAATGCATTAAACCATGCTACAGTGATCAGGATTACCAACTGCTCTATGGTTAGTGACAGAAAATCCTCTCTTTGTGACAGTATTTTTCAGCAAAATCAGTTTTCAAATTTGATTCCAGTTATGCACTGTTCTTTTCTCTCAACTTAGAGGAGTAGCTCAGTCAGCTCTTCTAGGAAGGCCACACAAGTCCAAGAGTCTTTGTTGCAGTTGTTGTGATCCATTTTAAGTTCAGGAAGCACCATTATTTCCACTTTTAGGGTGGTCTGTCTTTCATCTCATGGACCTTTTAAACTTAAATATTTCACAGTTTTATTTGTTTGTTGCTCTGTTTCTGGGCTCAGGTGCAGCCAATTCACATGGCTCAGTTCAATAGTGTTTCCAGTTAGAGTGCAGAAATTTCTCTCTAGAGCACATTGCCATCAATCTTTATCCAAAGTATTGACTGGATTAAAGACTGCTGAAAAATGTGCGTGAACAGAGTAATTCAAATATGGTTGAATAAAACTTCTCCTTCACCACAAAAACAAGGAATAAGGAGTGAAGGAAGCCTGTGAAAAAGGTGTCAAATCCAGCTCCTAACCAGAAAGCAGAATTTATTTTCAAAAATATCAGACATTTAAACAGGCATGACACCTTCCCTACAGCTCATCAATGTAAAGTACCATTCCCTAACAATGCTCAGTGCTACGCTACAGTAGCATAGCAATACACACTTAAGTGCAAAATGTTTTAAGTCATCCTTCTACCACCAGATAAAAATCAAGATAGAGTACAAATAAGACAAACCTACTTGTACTCTTACCATTTGTTGCCATGGGTTTATTTGTTGTAAAGCCCTCTCTTGTGAAGAATTAAAAGATAAAAATTAGGGCACTCCTCAAATTAAGGACAATAGAAGCTGATTATCAAAGTGAAAACACGTAAAGTTAGATAAATTCTCACAGTTAATACAGGTATGGATCAAACTAACAGGATTTTAGGACAGAAATTTATTTATAAAATAAATAATTTATTTATAATTTATAAAATACATAATTTATTTATAAAATCTGCTGCCATTCTTGCAACACCTCATTATTAATATGCTATCATTTGAAATTTAGTATTGGAAAAAAGCAGCCCTGTACTTCCGAAGTGAAAGCATACAGCCTTCTGTAGAACACCAGTTAACTGTTATAATTAACATAGCAATCTGTGCACAACGTAGGCTAGCTGTCAAGATACACACAGCACCAGGGTTTGAATAGATCCCTGGTATCAACAGAAAGACTGGATCACCAGAAATATGAAAATTTTAAGTCAGATTTTTTTTTTAGTCTGAGTCATTACAGGGTGTCCATAAAAATCAGGTTCAAGATCACTTGCCTTGATATTCTCCTGCCCAGAACTCTGCTGATAAAACACATCACCTTAAAGCAGCATGTGTGGGAAGGCAAATGGAAAACTGCAGACCCACCTCTTTTTTTGGACATGGAGAACAGTGTTGGGGGTGTGCCCACTGAATGTTTGATATAGCAGGGAAAACAACACAGTTTGAAACACTTCCTCAGTGTTCAACTTCCTTTATTGCCTCTTGCTCCCTGGAATAAACCAGACAAAGATCAAGCAGGTGCCCATGCATCATACCTGTGTCTTTCAAATCTCTAAATTTTTACTGTGTATTTACTTCAAATAAAATCCAATGGATTTTAGAAAACTTTAGGTATTCCTGCCTTTGGAGCAATAAGCAATATTCAATCACCATGGAAACACAGCTGCTGGGAGTTTATCTAAAATGTCCACAAAAGTAACTGCAAGGAAGGAACACACTGTGTCATTGTAGCACAGGTCTCACAAAGGCCCATTTAAATAGTTAAATTCATGTAAAAAAATTCCCTTAAAAGTTTCAGTTTTATTTGCACAGTTAGCCCTCCTCGAGGTTTTACAGAAAAACCAAATTATCCAGTGAGTTTGCTTCATGTAAACAGCCAGATGTTTGCTTGACAACCAAAAAGTAATCTGGTCACACAAGTAATAGACATTTTGGAGCATGGTTTACTTATGCATATCCGAGTACAAAAATTTATATTAAAACAATATTTTAAGTAGAACTGCGCAGAAACTACTTAGCTCTGACCCATGATTGATGAAGGGAACAAAGGACAGTGGAAGGCAGAGAGAAGTGCTTCATACAAAAATCATAAAAACTAGGAAAATTAATAGAATGATACAAAGTTACAGAGGGCCGTGAATGAAATTAGTCAAAAATCTAACAACCATTTGGTGGATTTTGATCCAAGTTCAAAATTCCTTTTTGGAAACTTTCACATTATCAGAAATAACATAGTCATACAATTAAGACATTTTTGAGACAAAACTGCAGATTTTATTTATTGTAAGTCTTTTCTCTTCAGAGGCAGAATACAGTACAGACATTATATTGTAAAGTTTTCTGGCAGAAAATTGCTTAATTTAAATTATCCAGTGTAATGGTTTCCTTATTTGTTCCAAGTTAAATGTTAGTACATCTCTTAATTTTTCAGCATCTTTGTGGTACATAGATTGCTCTCTGTCAATGACTCCTTAATTTACAATTGCTGTACTGCATCAAGCATTCATATTCCATGCTCAACTTTTCTCCACCATCTTTCTTTTTATGTGGTTAAATTTAATATATAATTTTTTAAAATGACAAAGATGTTTTTTCTTCAATAGAAGTCTTTCTGAAGAGCACTCAAGCAATTAAGAATTTTCAAGAATTCTGCTTTAATTTTTTTTCCTCTGTGCAAATTTTTGAAAAGTTATGAATGTACAGTGTGGGCCTTTTTTGAGTTTAAAACATTTTAAATTAACTAAATCAATTTTTTCACTACTTTTTTGTATTTATGACTACTTAAATCTGTATTCTTTTATCACCTTCTAATCATATGATATTTATAAATTCTGCAAATTGCTAAGCAATTTCTGGGAGATAAATTATGTTTCATTCCTTTTTTTTTGTGGAGTATGCGATATCCATTAAGTCACTCAATGTTTCATTCAATTATGTTAGAATAAATAGACATCAACTTTTTAAAGCAATGTCCAATCTTCTGATCTCCATTACAGTTATTACCTTGGCAAACACACTTAAAGCTGCATTCATAACATGTATCCTCTACCATGCCATTAATTTAAGTAGTGTCCCAAATGCAGGAATTAGCAAACCTAGAGCTCCAAAGTGTGATTGATTAAGCCTCATGATAGATGGTTTTAATGCATTTTGCTTTAATTCTTTGGTTTAAATTATGGCAAAGCCATCAAAGTGATTAGTTTAGGTGTGGCAGCTTCTAATAAATGTACTTAGCATAATTGATTGTCTGTGTGACTCAGCTAATTCATGAATTGATTATGAAATGCTAAAACAGCAATGCAACGTTTTTAAAAGTAATTACTTTTGCTGTTTCCTTTCAACAGATTTTACTTTATGTAAGTAAAGTATTGGCCCCTTCTTGGCTGGGACCCATAATGCAGATCAGCTTAGCAAATGGAAGGCAAAATCTGATTCTGCCACTTTGCCCTTTTTGGGATCATACCCACCTCCCAGACAATCTCTACCAGTAGCTGTGCTACTAACATCAGACAACATGCATTAGGTTACTCACTGGACAACAAAAAATGACATTGTACTTCTTTTAGAAACACAAGGTGAGAAAAAACTTGCAGACCCTTTCCTGCAGTTCCCTTCAAAAAACAATAGAGAAGACTATAAAATCCCTGAAGCAGAAGCCCTGATTTACAGACTGTGAAGTAGATAGCACATTTTTATCAGTATATCAATAATAAATAAAAATTGTGACCTTACTCAGGGTCATAGTTACTGTAACTCGCACACTGTGCTGTTTCTGAAGGCTTCACCCTGTGGAGGGAGCCCACACTAGAGGAGTTAATGTGCAGCAGCCTGTGAGAAGGACTCACACTGAAGAAGTTGAGGAGAGCCCCATGCTGGAGCAAGGGAAGGACTTCTCTCCCGAGGAGGAAGGAGCAGCAAAAAAAATACGTGATGAACTGACCATAACCCCCATTCCCCCTTTCCCCGGTTTGATGATGGGAAAAAAGTAGAGAACTGGCAATAAAATTAAGCACAGGAAAGAGATCCCTCTTAGAGGGAGGAAGGTGTTTTTAGGATTTGTTTCACTTCTCATTATCCTGCTCTGATTTTGATTGGTGATAAATTCAACTGATTTCCCTAAGCTGTCTGTTTTGCCCATTGATGAGTTATTGCCCCCTGCCCTTATCTCAGCCCATAAATCTTTCATTGTATTTTCTCTCTGCTGGCCAGATGAGGAGGGGAGTGATAGAGGCTTTAGTGCATACCTGTTACTCAGACAGAGTCAAACCACAACACCACCTAAGAACAGCAATGTGTGTGAGTTCTGAGATGGATGTAAGGGAAATAGATCCCCTTGGATGCATGCAAAGAAGGTTTGGGGAATAAAGAAAATGACAGAGTTGAGAAACCAGTGAGGTGATGTTGTATGGATTTTAAGAATAAAGAAGGAAAATTGTTTCTTTAGCAGTCAGTGGAGATTCAAGGTTTAACGTAGTGCTTTATACAATCATGAGCATTTTTCCAACAGAATTTTCAAGGCACTAAAGAAAGAACAGGTAATTGCCATAGTAAAAGTGATAGGACAAGCCACATGAGTAGGGTAGAAATCAGCTTTCCATGGGGGGGAAAAAATGGAACACAAATATGTTCCTTTCTGTACTATGAAGATGGTGAGGAACTGGAACAGGTTGGATGGGGTCTGAGCAACGTGGTCTAATGGAAGGTATCACTGCCCACAACAGGGGGGCTGTAAATAGATGATCTTTAAAGTCCCTCTCAATCAAATTCTTTGGTTCTGTAAATACATTATTTTTAGACTACATATAAGTTATTATAAAATATTTTATTGATATTGTTCCATTAAATATAATATTATAATTATGATGTCATAGAATAGATTATTATATTTGCTTCTAAACATTTATAATATTTGATTCTATAACTGAATAACCATTTGGCTCTTTCAATTATTTTTTTTTTTAATTTTGAGTTGGATAAACAGTTTTTCAGATGTTTTCTTTGTTCGGAGTTAGACTCCTTTTCACTTACAATGCTCCTGTTTCTTTTCAGTCCTCAAGGTCTGTATGACATCCTTGGACTTCAGTGAAGAATTTTTCATTTACTTCAGTAAGGAATTAGGGAATAGAAAGATTTATATAGGAATTAATATGATTTTCCTTCTTCCTACCATCGTGAGTCTCCTGAGAAAGAGAACTGTATCATAAAAATATAAAAGCGCACCTAATATTTCCTAACTATTTTCAGTACTTGACAGTAAAAGATAAAATTGTCTGTAGGGAAATACATAAAAATAGTGTGAAGCTTCAGACTCATAAATGTATTTACTTGGTAAGCCTCTGCCTGTTATTTTATTACTTGGATTAGGAAATGTTCCTGTTTTATAGCTCTATTGAAGTTTCAGAAATTTAAACAAATTGTATTTTTTCCCTTCTATGACTATATAATTCATCAAGCCAGGGTCTTGCTCAGTTTATTACATTATTTTTCCATGCATGAAAATCCATTTGCTGCTCTGGTTCTTATTGAAAACGGTAATTTCCTGGGTGGATGCACATCTGTTATCATTTCAGAGTCCAGTGTGATGAGCCTGAGTGCAAAACCTCTTCTCAATGACACTACAGCAATGGTAATACTCTGTTTATTTATAGTTTACTGAAACAAAACCAAGAAAATAAAAATAAAATAATATAAAACCTTTTCACTGGAAGATATTGAGCATCATTTCTGCTCTTTTTATGTTGCTAGGTTTCTTTTCTAAATCACAGAATCATAAGGACTACAAATTAATCAAGGAGTCAGATATATACACACCTCATAGCAGGTTTGAACACCAAGAGAATAACAGAGGCTCAATCAATCATAATTTTTCTGTTGACATCATGGGCAGAAATTCCCTAGAACCAAGGAGAAAACAAAAAAATAATATGAAACTGTTTTTCATATTAAAAAATTGTGTCTGTGCATGAGTGCTAGGTGAATAAAATAAAAAAAGCTTTTCAAAAAATTATACCTTTTATGAAGCATTTTGTTAAGCAACTATCAGAGTAAAAATCATAGAATCATAGACTATCCTGTCGTGGAAGGGACCCAACAAGGATCATTGAGTCCAACTTGTCGTCCTTCATGATACTACCATGACTCACACCATCTCCCTGAGAATGCTGGATAACACTCCTTGAGCTCTGTCAGGCTTGGTGTCATGATCACTTCCATAAGGAACCTGATCCAGTGCTCAACCACCCTCTCATGGAAATACCTTTTCTTACTATCCAACCTAAACCTCCTGACAGAACTTGAGGCCATTCCGTCAGGTTCTGTCTCTGGTCACTACAGAGACAGGCTTCCCCTTCATATCTTTCATCATCCTTATGGGCTTTGGACACTCTCAAATAGCTTGATATCCTTCTTAAACTGTGGTGCCCAAAAATGAGCACAGATATATGTTAAAAATGGTTTATTATTTCTGAAGTCAAAAAAGCTTCCAGATGAAGGAAAAATAATGCATTTTTATTTCTAGCATTGCATGAAGTGGTAATACAAAATATATTTTGCTCACACAGACTTTATTATTTAGTTAGAAGCAATACATTCAAAATTAGAGTGACCTTCAGTAACATATGGGGATATTTTTCAAGGAGAACACTGACACCAAAAAGGATTTTCATTCTGTTGTATTTCCGTCCATTCCTTCAGAAAGTCAGAAAACAGAAGGTTAACTATCTCAGTGCACAATCTTGCAGTCCTGCAGATGCTTTCTGCACCCCAGAAATTAGTGTTGATAAGACAGCAAGCAATCCATGGTGAAATAAAGACAAGAATTGACAGCAAGCACCTGTTTCTCTATGAAAAAGAACTCCTACGTGTATCAGGGAGAAAGATTGCAAGCTGGACTGCTGTGTCCCCAAAGTGCAAATGAGCAACTTTCCTTTTGTCTTTGATATTGGGTAGTAGTAATTCCCTGTGTGAATATAGAGTACACTTTTAATTACTGAAAACGTTTTTTGCACATTAGCTTGCCAACAAGTACAGTTTCATCAATAGTTTTAAACTAGAATATATTCTAGTCCTGACCTTATAAAAGTAATTTTTTTTCAGATGGCAAACTCGTCTTGTATGATAACACTGGTTTTCCTCCTGCAGCTTATTTTATGCTATATAAAGAAATTATGAATGACCTTTTCCAAATGTGCAAGCCAACTGCACCATAGGAAATCACAAAACATCAAGTTGTTATGGGGAATGTAGTGCAAACATGATGCAGAGCATGCTCTGTGAAGTATACTGCTTCTGGTTTGACCAAGGTTGCGGAAAATTTACTTCCAATACGTATTCTCTATTCTATTTGTGAGATGGACCTAAGTTCTCAGGCCAGATTACTCATAAAAATAATCCTACCAAGAGACTCAACATACCTCTTACATCTTCTCACATGGATTTCAGTTATGCTAGGAAATTAAATTCTTCAAAAGAGTGTTTCCAAGCTAGAATATTATCTACTATTCAAACACACAACTTTGATCTTTATATGTTCTCTAGTTGAAATTTTAACCTTATAAGTAGTCAGATCAAAAATGGTTTTTTTACTGGTATGTATTTTCTCAATACACTTGCAAATCATTCTCATTTCACTTCAAGTACTTCTGCAAATCCATAACAATTTCTACCAAAACAGTTGAATTCAGGTCATTTTTATGATCATATTTTTATTTGTCTTATTGTAGCTAGAAAAGCATAAAATTTAGCACAGCTGCTTTTATCCTGTGTTTCAACACATTGTCCCTTCCGTCAAGCAAAGTACAGATGACAACAGTATCAGTAGACTTTACTGAAAGGTTAATGGACCCATCTGTCAGTATACTTGTTTCCTAGTCACATGCTATTTGAGTCCTGGTATCTACAAAAGATCTCAAAACACTGCAGTTTATATCCACTATATATCAAAGGGAAAGGAAAGAATCCTGAGAAAAAGGGTCCTTCCATCAAGCAACCCATACATGTTAAAAAAAAAAAAATAAAGTTTTTTAAAAGTAAGTAATTTCCTGTATTACTTACTAAATCCAGAGGAAAATAGTAGAAAAAAAATGTAAGTTAAACCAGTGTTAAGTCCATTTCCTTCTGGGATGTTTGACTTGTGGAAATAGACTTTTAGAAAGAGAGAGCAGAAACTATAACTGTCAACTATATTGACAGAGCTGAGGTCCTACAGCTGCTCAGTCCCTCACACCCCACCTCATGGATGGACAGCTGAGACCTGTTCTGTTCCATTCTTCAGGCCCAGAGGCAGCAGGAAGACCAAGAGCATTCTTCCAGTTTCTTCAAACAAACCTGAGGCAGCAAACAGTGATGTATTTTCTCCGGTTCCTTGTGACTGTTCAGGTTGCCCAGCAGATGCTGTGAAAGTCAGTGAGAACTGAGACCCTAATTCCCACTTTTGTTCACCACAAGCTCACTTTCTTGGGCCACACTGTGCCATTATTATAAAAAAAAAAAAAATAGGTTCTTAGCTACACATATTTAAATTCCACAGAATTAAAAAAAAAAAAAAAATAGACCAAAATAGTGAGAAAATCATATCAAATGTTTATCAGAGTGCTGTTTCTACCACTGGAGTTTTTTCAAGTCTGATTCTATCTTTCCAAAGTCTGATCCCATTTATTTTCTAGTGGAACTATTAATAAATTTCCATATTCCAACATAATACTATGATATATTAAATATTGAGTTAAAGCTGAGAGAGCACAAATACTGTAATTATATCAAAGCAAGTTTGATAAGTCAAGGAAATATTGTACTCTTTCAATGCACAATTACAATGATAATAGTAAACGTGAAGTTCAAAGAACTCGAGTGTGTGAACACTTGTATGATACTCATGTTACAAATAAGTACACTATGCAATTTACAAGGAATACATTTTAACATGCAAGCTCTGATTAGACAATTTTTTTTTTTAATTATTTCATTAAGGGGGAGGGGAAAATAGTTAAAATTTTCCCTTATAATACACATGCTACACTTTGAATGTCACATCTTTAATCTCCAGTATCCCCTCCGGCCAAGTAATTTACAATTAACAAAGACCAGCAGAGCTCTTGCTGAATCAGCAGGTACCTTGCCCAGCTCCTGACCCATGAGGCTCACCAGCTCCCCCCAGTCGAAGAATCACATGGAAACTGCCTGCTGAGAAAGGTCAATGGCAGGCTGAATTACCTGCTGTGGCTCAAAAAGCCTCAAGTAAATAGTATAGAACACAGCTGAGACAAGGAAAAATATATCTAACTTCCCAGTGTTTATTTTGGGCTATTAATTTATCAGCTCTATCTTCAAATCCTTTCATGTGCTGCCAGTGGGAAGGGGTGGGGTTCCCCAGAGACACACTGGAGATGTCAGTCCAGCTGCAGCTCCAGCATGCTGCCCCAAGGAGCACAACCTAACTTCCAAACTTAGGTGCCTGCAACAGACATTCCTCAAAACCATAACAATGAAAAGTTAAACTACTTTGGTCTCTTCTATCTGGAGATCTACTTCAATCTTTCTGTTGGTGAAATCTCTCCCCGTTCCCTCCAAAGTTCTACTGGTGGCTTTTTCATTGTCAAACAGTATTTATCTGAGGGTCACTTTTCTTGATAAAGTTTTGATGCCTGTGCAGCCACTTTTCAACTTACACTTTTATGAATTGAAAAAACTCAAGGCTCAGGAAAGGTTGAGTTTTTTCATCATGCTTATTTATACAGGTTTAAACATCAAAGGGATATCATCACAAACACTTAATTTTGGTAATGTACTCTTGGGTGTGGTTTTCTCTTTCACTCAACTGCTTAACACCAAAAATACAGTGGTTTTGCAAGTTGAGAATCTAATTCCACTGCACTTCAGATAATGTAAGGTCCAGAGTGGAGTCCTAGGAAACTAATTGCTGTTTAGACAATGAACAGTTTTCAGTGAAGTACTGTGTCTTTAAAGAAATTTAATTGCTTGGAATACACTGATTTTATGCATTACTACCCAGATTCTAATATTCTCCTGGAATAGTTCAGGCGGGCAAAAAAGTTTATAATTTAAAAGATTTCTCATTGTTATTTTGTACCATTTAATGTAATTTTGGGACTGTGTGCTCTCATTTATGCCTATATAACATAATGCCTTTGGGTATTTATTAATCCTGTCTTTGACAATGTCCGAGAGACTGATGTAATTCCCAGGAGGATTATTTTGATACTGCTAGCACTTCTCATTTGTCATGGAACTAGTGCACTAGTTCACCTCCAAGAGTAGCTTGCTCCCTGCAAATGTAGTGGGGGGGGACAGACATCAAATATCTTTTGAATATCTCACATTAAAATCTCAAGAGTACTGCAAAACCAGTTTATAGTTTTCCAGTTGAAATGTTATGAAACCTCACAACACCAAGTTTTCTCATTATGTAATATATAACTATGAAATAAGTGAGAATTGTTGAGAACAAATTGGATCACATTTTGTTTCTCTGCTCTGCTGGAATTCTCTCAGGGTTCATTACTAGACCAATACAGAAAACAGCAATCCCAGAGATCATACTGGAGAACATAATTTTCCTTAATTATTCCTTAACTAGCCTGCCCAGTTGATCTTGAGGTGAAGGCAGTAGACCCCCACAGCCTGATATTTAAGCAGTAATTTTATTTGCTTTCAATTTTACTTTTGTCCTGCTGGCACTAATAAGTAAAGTTTATTATTCATAAAGTGCATTTACATTTTGTACTAGCACACAACAAGGCCCTTTTAGACTGTACTGACATGGGCTGGAATTCACATATATTCCCTTTAAGCTGACATTTCCAGGAAGGAGCAAATAATAACTCAAAAAAAAAAATATTTAAAAAGCTTAAGGGAGTACTTCAAACATGCCTATCTATTCTTCTGAGAAAAATTTTAGTCCAGCTGTGAAAGAGCCTAAGTGTTCACATATAAAAACCAACAGCAACAACAACTTTCCTAGTGGGATGCAAAAAATCCATAATAGCTTTTCAAACTAACAAAATACATAAGTATAAGCTTTCAAGCTTACAGATCAGCAAATAAATCAGCACTTGGAAGAAACCGTAGAAAGAAAACAAGATCAAAATAATTTTTATTACTGAATTAATTTTTTAATGAGAATTTTATCACACAGGAAGTGTTTTGAAATTCAAAATCTATTAAGCAAGGACCTTAGCAGTCTACAGGTAGTTTCTGTGAAATGGAAAAGTTATTTAAGGCTTATAAATTAAATATGGAACTGCTTTTGTTTGCTCTGATGATGCTGTTCTCTTCAGTGATTTTGAATGAGGCTGAAACATAGATCATTCTTTTGCTGCAACAACAACATCTAATTTCAAAATGTCCATTATACCAAACCAAGGGCAGAATAATTCACTTGTATGCTAAACATATATCAAGAAACATGCCACAAACTGCTTTTAGACAGGTAACAATGGAGAATACTTTTATTCCCCTGCAGTTTATCTGCCTGCTCCTTGTGCTCATGAACTTAAACTTTTGAATGCATAAGCTAATGAAAATTAGCTTTGAAATTTTTTTGGGGGGGGGCACTTTTGCTAAAAGACTAAGAAAACTTTTATTTGGATGGAGTTCAGTGTCATTGGAAAAGACACTTACTCTGGTATTACCATGAAGGTGATTTTCTTGAGTTTGGATCCCTTATGGCAGCAATTTAATAGCGTGACCTACCACAATTTAATAGCAACTTCCAGTAGAAGATGGAGCCCTGTGATAGACAGTCTCAATTCAACACGTACTAAACAAGCTCCATCTATCAGCTCTCGGTGCCACATCCAGGAGGGGATTTACAGTGCCATGCTGCAGAATCATGAGTCTGTTCCATGGAAAGTCATCCCACCTCTCGAAGTACTGCAGTGCCTGCCACGCGTAATCCAGCACAAATTCACAGTGGCTACGGCAAAGGCACTTCCAGAGGCCCTGAGCGCCAGCCAACACAGAGGCTAGCACAGGGCCAGTTCAGCCTGGCTGGCACAACCCTTGCATCCTGGATTAAATCCCCTCTTTTTCAAAGCTGCTCTGATAGGTTCAACTCCAAACAAGTTACTTCTGATTTAAATAAAACCAGTTGCAAGGCATTTAGTCAAAAGCGCATAGGAAAAAAAAAGGATCAGTTTAGAGGACAGCTGAAGAGATGACTCATCTGGATGTTTATAAAACATGGGCACAAGAAGCAGTTTGAAGCAGAGCCTACGAGCCAGGCAAAGGCAGAAGAGGGAGGGCTGCTCTGGTGTCATGTCAAAATGCAACCCAAGCTACACACAGCTGGTTTTGGTATGTCCTGCAGCAGATCTGGTGCAAGGGTGGGCTATGCTGAGTATCCTATTGCATCAGAAGAATTAAATGCATTGCAGAAGGATTGCCCAGAGTACTCTGGCTGTTTTACAATTATTGTATGACCAGCATAGGAGCCTGTCCTCATACAGGTCAACAGTGGAAACTCTGATATTTAACTCTGATATTTATTCTGGGAACTTCCACACCAAAAACTATTGAGCTTATGTGAGTGTACTGCACATGAGTGCAAACCTTCACATCAGAGTCCAGCAGCTAATCTGTCCCTGCTTAGTGCATTTGAAATTATGACAAATTTATTCCAAACTACAGGGAAAGATAGTAGTTTCAAATATCTGAAAAAACATAATAGAGGCAGTCAGATTCCCTGTCTCTTCTACTTATGAAGGCAGAAAAGAATGCCTGTAGTCTCCTCAGAGTTACCCCCCTGCCCTTACAGATGAGTCTCAAGTCATCTGTTCAAAACACACAATTGATATAGCAGTACTGATGGGTACACAGGTGAAACAATAAACAAGAACTAAAATAGTTCTGTGCTTTGTACACAACTATTAAGTAAATTGCTTTTTGTAATTTTGTTGTAAAGATCAGAAGAGTATGTGACAAAATAGTAGTGCTGGTCTCTCATCTTTAAAGCTCAACATTTTATCTTTCACACCTCGGCAAGTGACATTGTTGAAGACAGAGATGACAATTGCATAGTCTTACACGTACCAAGTAATGATCAATTTAAATTAAAATTTAGTTTAGAAGACCATTTATAGCAGAGAGAAAAACAGTTTCCTGAACATAGATTTCCAAAGCTTTTTCCTCTACTAAATCTTCTGTTCAGGATCAGTCAGCCAAACTCCCCACTCCTCTGGGCCTGTGGGGCAGCATTTTCTCCTGTCATTAAGTAAAACAAAGACACTAAATGGGACTTGTCCATTTTGGTCTACAGAGATTATTTTGTTTACTTTTCTGTCTCTTTAAATGATGTCACACCTGATGGTTACACAGATACTGGAAATAACTGGTTAATATATTGGTCAGGGTTGAAAAACAGGTGAAGAATTCCTGAAACATCAACTGTAAAATCTTTCATTGTCATCACCTAATCACTCTGAGAACAGTAATTTTGGTATGAAGTAAGATCTAATAGGCAAATCTAAACTAATAACAAATAATGAAGGCCACTTTCAATGATGTAATCGATTATCTGAATGACCTCAAAAGACCTTAAAGAAAACATGTGGGAAAGATAAAAAGTTTTTGGTACCAAAAAAATATACACCCTTTTAAAAAACCCCCACCAAAATTAGCCAGCCAAATTAAAGAAAAAAATTAAATAAATAAATAAGGACATGAACTAGGATGGCTTTTATTTACTTAGAGAAAAATTATGTCATCAGAACACAAACACAAAGTTCTCGTGACATTTAGAAAAGAATCAAGAGTGTTTCTCAGGAACCATGCTGTTCAGATATTCTCATAGTTCTTTACTCTGGGTACAAATGTGCACACTTTCTACATAGGGCTGTGTTCATCTTAAATACTGCCTTCCCAGATCTCAGACAAGAATTCCACGGACATTGCTCCCCTTGAGGGTGCCAGTGCTTTTCATTACCTTGCCATGATCTGCCCCAGTTGGTCACTCCTGAATCTCTCCCTCAGTAAAGGCTGAGTTGCTTTGTTACCTACAAGACACAGCAGATTCAGAATTACAGTAATCACACAAAATTTGTCTGAATAAACAAATTCAAAATTGCCACCAAAAAGAATGTCCAGAAAACACCATCACCCCATTCTTTTAATCCTTTTCTGTTATGTTTTGGTCTACATGCCCTTCTCCATTAACAGACCTTGTCTGGAAGATCAGAACATAAATAAAACAAGATGTTCTACTGCTGAGAGTAATCTCTATGTGCACGAAACCTGTTAGATTTCCTTCACGTGCTCAATATGAGGCAAAATTAATCACAATTTCCACAGGACTCACTCTTGTTTCTAACACAAGGAGACACAAGACCTTCAGGGCAGGAGTGTTTCCTAATCTGTTTTGCCACTTCCACCCTCCCAGACCTGATAGCGCTTGGTTTGAGAACCCAACAAGCTGAGCACCTCCCTGTGCCCTCCTCCAGATAGGGGAAACTAGCAAAAAACAACACACAAAAATGGCATGGATTTCTTTAACCTATGAGTAACCCAAACAAAGCACCTGCTTCCTTCATGGAGCTCTTTACCAGTGATCCTCACTCAATATTTAGGATACTCACAAGCACTGCTTGCATTTTCTTTTCCTGAAAGGATACTGGAATATTATTAATGTGCTTATTATTGGTTACTACTACTTTAAAGTGGATTTATTTTGAGGCAATATTCTCTATTTTATCAGTACTACTTTTCTCATGAGAAGTGTGCTTGAATAGGCTTGTTAGTATTAAAGATATCACATGCTTCATCTGGAAACAATACCCAAAGTCCCAATTTTGGTATTACCTAGCCATGATTTGGAGTAGATAAGGATATAAAAAAATGTGCTCCTTTATTAATTCATAAACAAACTTGGATAACTGAAGAGAAGTTGACATTAAACGAAGCAACCTTCAGAGAACATCCTGGGCTTTTGCTGCTTTTATGGGAAATATTCTGCAGGAGTCTAAAAAAGCTTGTTTATCAAGGTAAATATGTCAAGGAGGAGTTATTCAGACATAGCCTGAAAACAATACAGCTTTTAAAAACAATCCACTTGAGGTATTGTGAGGACACTTCCCCAGAGAAAACCATTCAAAATGTCATACAAAAAACAAAAGTAATCAAGTTATAAAATGATAGAAGAACAAACAGAAATAAGAAGACAAGGACAAATAAAAAAAATTTTAAAAAAAGGTAAATACTGAGTCCAGAGGGCCTATACTGGCACTTTTCTACCTGCCTTCCTATGTACCCTTCTGTCTTAACAATTCTACCACTACTTCTACCACCATTTTGCATCTTTAACCTTTTCTTCTCTTCTTCCCCACACATGATGTGTACCTTTTTTCTTGTACCTTACACCTATACCACAGCTGGTGTTATCCAAGTGAGGAGGAAGAGGAGGAGCAACCTGAGAAAAGAAATAGTCTAAAAAGCCAGGGAAGGGTCTGCAAGGTTTTGATAAGCAATGCTGGTGGGGGTGGGAGAGCTGAGGCGAGCAGCAACCACAGTCCCCCCTAGTCCTCCCTGGCAGGAGCACTGAAACTTCCTACCCATGTGTCTACTGTCTGAGAGGCGCCACAGGCTCTCTGACAGTCTCTAACTCAGCCTGAAAAAGAAGAACCAGTCCATTGTTTCCAGTAACATCTTTTAAACTCTAAGCATTTACCTACTTTACCTAAGAGATAAAGGTACATGCTTTATCTGGAGGTTGTAAATTCCTGGCTGAACACCAACAGCCTCTTGCTAACTTACCAGGAGAATACAACATAGACTATATGATTTTTTTTTCTTAAATTAGAAGATATCAAATGTTAATTTGATATCAAATTTTAAAATGATAATTGTTATGTCAACAACTGTTTAATGCTGACAACACAACTATCAAGATTGCATAGACACAATGTGCAAGCACATGCAAATATTCTTACATCTGCTTCTACATGTAGCAAGTCTAGAAAATCAGTACTAGCATTTGATTCAGTGGGGATACTAAAAGAGGTACTTTCATTTCAATATTAATTTACCCAGTTTTTATACAATGCAACCTGAAACAAACATAGGTCATACAAGAACCTTAAACTGAAGCTAACAGGCTTTTACTCAAACTTATGTTAACAGTGAAACCAGAAGATACAGCTTTTCCAAAGGAGATTTTTGGATCATCAGAGATCAGTGTTTTTTAAATACCTGCTTCTTAATACTTTCATCTTCTTAATTTTGGATAGTCCTACAAGGCGGGCTCTGATGTTTGAGAAAAGTAATGGAGGGTAATAAGACACAATGTATATAAAACAAACACATTGATCTATTGGTAAGTGATTTCTTCAGTCAAATGCTGATAAAATTTTTTAAGCCAACTCCTCAGTAATGATAATTTTTTACTTCAACATTCAGAAAGAGTATGCAATGCACATCCCAAGATTTAATACAATGATAGGATTATTGTCTATCTTTACAAAAACTTTACTGCATTAGGAAACACTTTTTACAGAGCTTGAGGACTAATTTATTGGAACCAAAATGATGCAGAATGCCCCACAACATTCTCAGAGAATGAAGAGGAATCAGGCAACTTGGAACAGAATCAGAATCAAAATGGTGAATTTCAAAGCTACCCAAAGATCACCAGTCTGTGCAACGGTTCATTACACATTTTTGCAAAGCTAAGACTTTGGATTTGGCTGGAAAGGAGCGTGGAAGCCTTTTTTAATACAAGGCTCCTCCAAGTCATCCTCACAAATGAAAGACAAATCTGATTTTTAAGTTGCAGAACAAACCTTCTACATGATCTGTAGTGCATGTATGTAGGTATGAGACAGCTTTCTTTCATCATCACCTCTGTAGTTCAGATTTACACTTATAAGAATGGTCTTCAGGGGTAATTAATTTACTTTTTAGTTCTTGTCTTCTTCCTTTCAGACATCACCTTTTAGAAACAGTCTCTTCATCTCAAACTAGATCAGTCCAAATGTGACCTTTTCTACCTTAACAATTCCTCTTTTCTTTATCTTTTCTAAAGCATTTAAAAATTCCACTTCACTTTCTGTCTCTCAGGATCTCCCATAAAAACAAACAAGTAAAAACTTGCTTGTAAACAGGATAAAAAAGGAATTATTTTAGGTTTCCACCATTATCAAAATAATGACAGAAAATACGTCAGGCTGCACTGAAGCTCCTTAAGTCTTTATATGATATATTCTGGAACTTTGAAGGTTTGATAGGGAAGCTAGTTATCACTTAGTCTAATTTAGCAAATCAAGAAGATCAGGTCATATCGAAATTTTGCTGTTTTTCTGATGAAAAATAATGCAAAAACTCACATTCCTAATTAAAAAAGTAACTAGCTGTCATTTTTCAGTAACTATAGCTTTAACTGAGAAGCAACTGTTCCTTCTTCATCAGGATGTATGGGATTATCTGGCACCTCACCCACAAATATAGATTAATAATAGCTATTGAAAACAAAACCCTTATTACACAGATTTCCAAGAATTTCAGCTAGCTGTAGAATCAAATGGTTTCTAATGATTGCTAAGATCCTTTACAAAGTAAGATATGAGCCTTTGCTTCGCTAGTCACTAGGGTTTTTTTCTTTTTTTCTGTTATTTTTTTTCCCACTTACTAGCTTCTAAATGAAATTACCAGTTTATGATAATACAGGTTCTTAACAAGTTATGCTCTCCTTTACCTTTTCTTCTTCCTCTTCTCTAGGATTTCTTTTAAAATAAAGCTTATTTCCTCTATAAGCTGGTTTCTTTTTTAAACTGCGTGGTTATCCTTTCCAATTATTGAACTGGTGCTTTGGGGGCATCTAATTAAATGTTCTTAAACTGCTCCCAATTAATATCATTCTATTTTAGTTTAAATTGTCTTCCACCTGAATGGGTTTATAATTGCTTTCTAATTGCTAAGTTAGTCTTTTCAAAACACCAAGTAGATATCCATTAGTGATGTGAACAATAGTGTACATTTAACTCAAGTTAAATCATTGCCTTCATAACTTAGATTTTCCATTTTTCATAGATTCCATAGAAGAAATCCATTTTGTAGTTTGCCTCAGTGCTTTGCTGCAGAAATCAGTTTGTACACTGCATTGTACTACAGTTTTTAAAATACTGATCAATGTAAACTAATTTAAAAAAACACACGGAGTGTTGTTTTTCTGTTTCATTTAAATACTCATGAAACTGTGGGTTGGATACCCATATCATCTTGTTAAGAAAACAAGAAGAAATTAAAGTAGTGGCCAGTTTGTTTTCCAGCTACTTTAGTAGGAGACAGGGAATTTAATAACATATTATAACAAAAGAAAAACATAATTTTAAAGCCATTTAACCCCTGTTATAATACTTTCATTTCAGAATAGAAAATGCTTCTCCAGATCCTGACTTTATTAACTCACATGTGAGTGAATTTAAAATTGAATGACATATAAAATCACATAACACATCTTTATCTGCATGCAAATGAACACTATGAACAAATGAACTGGAATTCTTACTGCCTGGAAGTAAGTAGAAGTAACTTAGGTTACTTTATTTTTTTTTTTTCCCTGCAGAATCAGGGTTTATTTGAAGCCTTCTTAAGAATGAAGAGCAAGAAATCATCCCCTACTTTTCAGAGTTTTCACTATCTAATTTCTTTCTTATTACCATGACCAAATTCTAATGAAGAGGCATGAAAAGTTGGCACAGGAGGTTTCTTCAACCCTCCTCCAGTTAAAAAGTCTGAAGCTCACATTTATTAATACACTCTTACCAAAAATTCTTCATACTGAAATCACTCATAATTTGAATTAATATTAGAAACAGACACACTTCAAAGGAATAGAAGATTAGTTCAGATAAGTACACAAAATCTGAAAGCTCAAGTAGACATCTTAGTGCTAGAAAATCCTCAAATATGTTGGCTGACAAATATGTTGACTAAAAAAATAGGTGTTACAGCAATACTGAAAGGCTCCAGAAGGATGAGCCTCCACTCTCATAAGAGAGCAGATTGTGACAAAACTCTTATAGATGGGAAATCTCAAAGAAAAAAAAAAAAAAAGGGGAGTTAAAGAAAAAAGTAAAAAGCTGAAATGCAAGTTAACAACCCAAACTGAGCTCATTATGGTTATGGTTAATTTCCTTTCAATGTTGCAAGTAATTTAGGGATTTAATTCTGCTATGTACCCACTGACTTATTTTGTATCATTTTAGCTGCCCAGTAGTAATACATTTAATCAACAGCTGAGCTTCCACCAGTAGCAGTTTTCAAGGAGCATTGGGACCAAATTTGAGCATGAAGGAGGGTATCTGTTTATGTATATTGAAAAACAGACAAGTTCAAGATATGGCCCTACTGGAGAAAGTGCAGCATTGGGTCACTAAAATGATGAAAGAACTGGAGCATTTCACCTATGAGGAATGGCTCAGAAGCTGTGACTGTTTAGCATGAAGCAAAGAAAGTTTGGTGGAGTCTTATCAATGTATAGAAATATCTGAAGGGAGAGTACAAAAAGAATTTGTTATGTGATGCCCAGTGACAGGACTAAAGACAGAAAATTAAGCACAGGAGGTTCTCTCCGAATACCAGGAAGCGCTTTCTCACTGTGAGAGCAACTAAGCACTGGAACAGGCTGCTCAGTAGATTTTTGAGTTCTTCATCCTTGAAGATATTCAAAAGCCATATATAGCAGGGCATCTTGCCCCAGAAAAGCTTACCTGTTGCTTTTTAGCTGGTGAAACAGCTCAGGGCACCTCGCCCCGCACAAGAGCTTTTCTGCTGCTTGAGAACTGATGAAATAACTCAGTAAGGACAGCTTGTCCTGTAGAGAGTTAATTTGGCACCATGGCAATGACCCTCCCAGCTGACAATAAACATCCTGCTGTGGAAGTGAGTTCTGGAGAGATAAACTGGAATTTATGACTGACACACACAAACTACACCAAACCTCCAAAAAGCAGAAATTTTCTGCATGTTCCCAGGAAAAGTGTTGGTCTTTCTCTCTAAAGCTGGGGCATCTACTTTGTGGGTTATTTCTCTGGAGGCTGAGTGAAAGGACTTTGTGTTCACTATTTCATTTTGACAGTAATTTACACTGACTCTTAATCTGCACTATTTCTTTGCTAGCTTCAATAGAGATACCTTGATATTGTGCACTTCCATGTCATCTACTAGCAGTTGTGTTTGGTTTATACTGTGTAGCAAGTAAATCTGAGGCCTTTTTTCTGCTATCTCCTGTCTATTCAATAAATAACTCATTTTATAATAGAACTTGCAGGACACCTAAATTTAAGCTGCTGCCAAAAATCTGAGGCTAAGGCAGGGTTTGCCTGAAGCTGCCACTCAATCCATAACACATCTGAATTTAGTCCTGGACTACCAGCTCTAGGTGTCTCCACCTGAGCAGGGAAGGACTGGAAAAAATTACCTCTAGAGGTTCCTTCCAGCCC